AATACATTGTCCTATGAAATATATATATAGATATATATATAGATATATGTATTTAATATTATATTTTAATAAATATAAAATATATAGTAATTAAAAAAGTTTACATACCAAGAATTGGATAAAGGAAGATCTACGGGGTAAGGTACTTCACGAATAATCTGTAATTGGTGACTAATTCGTTCCGCTTCATTATTATTAGGATCTAGAGTTTGCAGATATTCATAAATAGCATCTAGTTCAGGGCATTGTTCAACTTCTTCATATTGAATTTCATTATATGACTGTTCAAAATCACTATCATCCTGAGCATGTGATTCAATATGATGATCCTCGGAATAATTTAATTCCTTTAGATCATATTCATTTAATGTAGAACAATCGGACATTTGACTATTTTGTACAGGAATCAAAGTCTCATCTTCTTCGATCACTGGCGATAAATGTTCAGGTGACATAGATCGTTCAGATAAATAGTATAAATTACTATTATCTTGCTTATATGATATTTCATCAATACATTGATCAGCGATATGATCTTCATTAATAGAATTAGCTTTGAGTTCTGGAGACTGATTGAATGACGATGAAACGGAATAGGTTGAAGAAGAAAGAATTGATTTATCAACAGCAGTATGCGTGGAAAAAGTTGATATTACCGTATTTGTTGTTTCAGCATAAGAAGAAGTTGAAAGGACAGACATTGAAAAAGAAGTAGAAGAAATAGTGGAATGAGGAGATGATAAAGGAGATCTAGGTAATTCAGAACCATCATCATCAATATATTCTTCTTCTTCTTCAAATTTTGTAGGAAGATTCTTGGTAACAATATTTGGTACGGAAGCTTTTGAAAGATTTTTCAATTGTTTATCAGAACCAGCTGGTAACTTGACCATTAAATCTTCATGAGGTAAATCCAATTCGAATGAAGAGACAATTTCAGTTTCTGATAGTTGAAACGTATAATCATTTGAGCAATTTTCATCAATAATAATATTATTATTATTATTGAAATCATTGACTTGACTTGACTGATAAGAACCATGAGGAGGTAATTTCAATTTCAACATGGAATCGTTATCATTATTATCATTATCATCAATAGAGGAATTTGGAAGTCGTACATCATATAATTGTTCATTTAGAAAAGATTCAATTGTAGATTGAACATTTGATTTTATTTCAAAGTCAGAATTATTTGCATCAAGCAAACAATTGGAGGTACTTATGTTTGATTGAGATTCGGAAATTTCCGAGGACACGTGATCACGAGACATACGTGATCGTTCTTTGGGACACATATTAAATGAGTCAGAATTTTCTAGAGAAGGACCTCTATCAAAAGACAATTGTTCATGAGAATTTATTCTAGAATTGGAAACCCAGTCTTGTGTCATATAAAGTTTATAATCACTGTTTATGTTGTTGTTGTTGTTGTTGTTGTTGTTGTTGTTGTTGTTATTTTCTGTCATATTAACAGATTGAGTAGATTTATGAAAATTTGAAGTTTCAGAAGTGGATATTTGCTCAGATTCAGCCCGTACAACATAATCAGAACAAGGAGAATAAGTTGAATAAGAAGCCGTCGAAATCACCATCGGCTTTCCGCATTCATCAGAATTAGGATATACTTGTAGAGAAAATTCCATACCAGGAAGGTTGATAACGATAAAATCCGGTATGATTGAAGGAATTTGATCGATTTCACTAGTATTACATTGATTGATATTATCAGGTCTAGAATCCATAACTATATAAGTTTCTGGTTTGTCAGGATAAATGATCTTTATCGTAATTATTCCTAATTCATCTATTTTTATAATACGATGAAAACGGTCAAAGGAATTATGATTTGGTGGTAAATTTATCTCAATTATGTTTGCTTCATCTAAAAGAGATTTTTTCTCCAATGAGGAATCAGTATTTGTTGAATCTTTTCTATTTTGATCCTCCAATGCTTTAGTTGGTTTAGTTATAGGCAGTTGTTCATTACACCGCGGAATATAATTGTTCACGCAATTTTCGGGAGGATGATTTTCGATGGAGTGGACGGGCACTGGTTGTTCTTTACAGTCTATAGGTATATTTGAATGCACGGTCGAATGGGCTAATAAAAGAAGTAAACAATTTTGAAAAGAAAGAAAGAAAATGAAATATAAAAAAAAAATCAGAAATATATTACTTTGAACGTAAATAAAAAAGCGCATATAATAACAAATAAAAGAATGAATTTATGATAAAACTAGAATATCTTTGCACGTCAATAAGCGACTAATATTTTTTCAACAGGTTTTTTAAAAAATCTAAATTTATATAAAATTATTTTAAGAAAAAATAACATACCATTTTTGTTTTTTCTTCCTTTATTTTTTTTATTTGAATTTTTAGTCTTTTTCTTTAATTTTTTTTCGTTCACAATTTCTTCATATTGTGAACTATTCAATTTATGGTGAGGAAACTTGAGACTATTCGTCATATTTTCAAATATCTACAAAAAGCAGAAAAGCAATATCTACTAATTCGTGATATTGACGAAAGGTCTTTTTTAGAACAAGAAAAAAAAGAGAAAAGGAAAGGTATAAATAGAATAATTTTAAAAAGTTTACGATGAAAAAATATAAAAAGGGATAAATATAATGGTTTGTAGGTTTAATAACTTTAAAGTTTTGTTTTGAACTTATATAATGCGATAAATAAACTTGAAAAATTTTTAATTTGAGATAGTTAATTTGAGGTAGTTGGGTAAATCAAGGTTTATAAGTCAAAAAGCGGGGATTTATTTTTTTATATAATCACCAAAAAAAAACTGGGTTTCATCAATTAAATTTTAAAAATACAGTATTATTAAAAAAAAAAAAAAGATATTAATATATACCGGTATACAGTACAGTAGAATCTGGTATATAGTTTACTATACCAGATACGTTACTTATGTACGTACGTACGACTATGTATATAAAAATTGAAATAAGGTTTTTTATATTTAAATATATGTATAAGTATGTGTATGACCAGCATGACCTTATGAGCAACCGGATTAATGACCGGTTTTTATTCGTAAACTTTGGCTTTTTTTTATAATATACCAGGTTTATAAAGTTTACAGAAATTTATTTATGAATTTTTATATACGAATTTTATATACAAAGAGGAGATAAACATAACTTATACATACTTTAAACATTTATGACTTTTATATGACTCACTTATATTTTTTTTTTCTAATTAGTATTTATACGGTATAAAAATAAATGTTGCGTACATACATATATATGTGTACATGCGTTTATCTTACACACTTTACCGTATGTTCAAGAGACCGTTTCACAAATACTAAAAGAAAAATATGATTAGAATTTCGAGCAAGAATTAAAACCAATGTTGTAGTACAAGTCAGGTTTGTAATAATCCCGCAAACATTTAAAAATTTGGTGAGATGAAAGGCAATACAAAGAAGCTGATACAAAACTTTTCATTAAAAAAAAGTTAGTAAAAACTTAACAATTTAGGATAGGTAGTACGTACGTGGATAGCATGTCAAACGATGTGTTAAAATTTGAACTTTAATATAAACGGAGAAGTTAATCAATTCGGAAGTGTCGATTAAAGTCAGAAATGGTGATGGCTCGTAAGATTATCACCTTTTTTGCATCACCATCAAAGTGTAACTGCCCAATGCGTTGACAAAAACATATCGGAATAGCATAAAATCGTAGATTCCATACTGATTTATTGATGATACATAAACGGAATGATTTATTTGTATGTTAAAAAATTATTTAATTTTAATTTTTACTAAAACGAAAATTTTTAAATTTTTTATATAAACGCGTATATTAAACTTTCCGAATTACTATGATTACATATATATACATATATAATGAGAATGTTGATCATATAATCTAACAGATGAACAGGGAATGACTGTGTAATATTACAGCAATCACAATATAATGTAATATTACAGCAATCATTATATGTAATTATCAAAGAAGATCCGATGTACATACGTAATTACGTATAATTACCAGTTACTGTACGTACTGACTGACTGTATAAGCAAACTAAGATAAATACGAAATTATTCTATAAAATGAGATACTTTTTTTTTTTTTCAAAGGTAATCATTATAATAAAATTCAATAGGAGATTTAACGGATAAGTAATAATAATAATAATAATATATAATAAATAATCTGTTACAACAAAAAAAAAAAAAAAAAAAAACTTTTACAAAAAAAAACAAAACTTACCCACAATTTATCACATTAACACATTAACAAGAAATTAATTGGTCTTGTGAACTTTTTTTGTGACATCAAAATCGGTAACATGACACGAAAAAAAAATATTTACCTTAAAAGTTATTAAGATACTTAAAATCTGTCAACCAACTATTCGACTATTGAAATTACTAGAAAAAAAAGTGTATCAGAAATTTTAGTGATCAGATGATCAAGCCACCAGAAAATTTAATTTACTTTGCGTACAATAGTAATAAAAATATATTCATATAAACTGTTTATGTTTTAGAAAGAACATTAGAATATTTGGTAGATCTAGTTTTTCGTTCGGAAATCATATCCAAATATAAAATTTATAAATCCAGATCCAGATTTTTATAATCTAAAAAAATTATATTAATAGTACATTAACGTAATCTCACGCTCTGGTTGCATGCATGTTTGCATTGATGGAGTTAAAGGTGTAACGATTACTCATAGTATCTCTCGGAATCATGAAAAAAAATATTCAAAAGTAATTTTTTAAATGAACATTCGATGAATTACGGAAATGATCAAAAAAGGGTACTTTTAATGTTTCCAAGTTTTGTAAAAAAAGACTTGTAAATAGGAAAAAAAATTTATTAAAACCTGAGTAATTTACATTCGATCATCATCACATTTACACATAGACCCAAAAAACTTGACAAAAGTAGTAAAGTCTTGTGAACACCTATTTTTGACGTTTTTTGACACACGAAGATGTAACACAAAATGTTCATATCTATTCTCACGAATAAAAAGCCCATGTGCCCCAGACGTATATCTTACCTTGTTTGAAAATTTGATCGTTTTTGATCATTGACTTGTGTGATTGCTTTAACAGTTAAGAATATGCACTTTTGTGTTCACAATTTTAATAGAATTCCTAAGGTTTTGACATGCATATAGGCAACTGCCTTCCTTTTAAAAATTAAGATAAACTAAGATAAAATTAAGATAAAATTAAGATAAAATTAAGTTAGTCACTTGTTCACAAACAAGTTTTTTTTTATCGATGTATTCATGTTAGGATATTAATGTTAGGATATTAATGTTAGGATATTAATGTTAAAATATTAATGTTAGAATATTAATGTTAGGATATTCATGTTAAGATATTCATGTTAGGATATTCATGTTATAATATCCATGTTAGAAAATTGTTAAAAAAAAAACTTG